CAGACATATATACAGAGGCGGGGACCAGACATACACTATATTACCAAAAGTATTGGAACGCCCCTCCCCCTCCAAATCATTGGATTCAGGTGTTCCGTGAAATTTCCTTGCTACTAAATATTCCACGGTCACCTGTTACTGGGATTAAAACAAAGTGGAATCAACTGGGAACAACAGCAACTCAGCAACTCAGCCACGAAGTGGTAGGCCACGTAAAATGACAGAGCGGGGTCAGCGCATGCTGAAGCGCACAGTGCGCAGAAGTCACCAACTGTCTGCAGAGACAATTTGCCACCTGTGTCCCATTGTGGGGATTTCCTTTCTGTCTGATAGCCACAACGGGAACTGTTATAATAGTTACCAGGACAAAGAGAGAGAGTGATACTCCCTAACAGGGACACAGACAACAATAAAAACATCACAGGCCTTCAAATCCCTCTCCAAAGCCATCCAAAACTAAAAAGGAAAGGACATTGTGACCGGCGCCCCACCTGGGAACGTTCCATTGTCATCCTCATGGCCAGATTTCCCACTGTCTGCAGCCATTGCAGCCATCACTTCACACTGCTGGGGAAGCCCTCCCACCCTACATCTGAGGAGCGCAGCCCGGCCGTCTTTGCCAAGTCTTAGGAGGACGTGGATATTGGGGGTGCGGTGGGGGGGTGTCTTACTTTCTTCCAAGGTCTGCTGCACCCCAACACATCCAAAGGGATGCTGAGAATCCAGAATAGACGGTACAATTGTGTATAGGGAGCTCAGGATTTGGCAGCTCTATATGGGGTGCTCGGAGATGCAGATTGTACAGATTTATGGGGTGGTGCAGAATTATACATTGCGCAGCTCTTCATGGGGTAACGCAGGAGTGCGCCTTGTACAATGCTCCGTATGGAAGTCTGTGCATTGTACACTTCCATATTATAGGGTGATGCAAGTTTGTGCACCAGGCAGCTTTTCATGGGGTGATAGTAGAATAGACTTGTGTGTGTGGTTGGGGGGAGGGGCGTCAGATTTCTCTGCCTACAGGCTCCGGAGAAGTAAATCTGGTGTTCTATCGAATTCTCCAACTCGTGGAGACCTCCAACTCCCGTCAGTGCGCAGCCACCCAAGAGAAGTATCAAGCTGTACAATCTGGGGCAGTGCGCCTGCGCAGGCACTAGTTGGAGAACTCGATGACAATTTCAAAGCCGCACCTACGGCAAGTGGAGACGTCAACGAGGATTGCAAAAGCTGACTGTTTGCGCCATCTCGTCGAAATCTACAATGGATGTGAAATCATGAGTTGGCCACCACGACAGAACACCAGCCCTGGTCATCCTGTCTGGGAAAGGTTCCACTGCCGGCCCGCCCGGGAAAGGTTCCACTGCCGGCCCGCCCGGGAAAGGTTCCACTGCCAGCCCGCCCGGGAAAGGTTCCACTGCCGCCCCGCCCGGGAACGTTCCATTGTTATTCCAGAACCTTTACTCTTGGTAATGGATTTTCTGCCACCAACCTGAACGGTTAGGCACAGCTTAACCCTTTCGCTGCCCAGCTTAACCGTTTCGCTGCCAAGCACTCCGGAAATGTTTTTAATTCAGCTGGCCATGCCATTTCTGCAATTTTTCCCATTGATTTTATTTTCAACTGCTGCATTGCTAGCGTTTGTAAAAGACCCCCCCAAACCATATATATTCTGAAAGGCAAGGCCCGGTAGAATAAAAAGATGGTGATACTAAATTTGTAGGCCGTGCGATAATTGCGCAAATGTTTCTCAAATTAATATTAAACCGATAAAAATACACAATTCAATTGTTAAAACACACTAAAAAAAATAATTTTCTGACTAAATCTAAAAGATAAAACTGTATTGAGTTAATAAATAACAAATATTTGCAAATTTGTAATTGCGCCTTTTTGTGAAAAGGTAAAAAAATGACGGTACGCAAAACTGTAAATAAGCGACTCATGTTAAAAAATTGTTTTGGTGTTTGTGTTGTGATAAAATGATACAGGTGTATATTTAATTGCAACACAAGGTATCACAACGCATGGCAATGAGTCACAAAGCTTTGCCATGCGCTGCCACAGTTAATTTAATGTTTTTTTTAAAGAAAATAAATAATGCACTGCAATGCGTTCTAACAACGCACTGCAGCGCATGTGCATGGTGTGCACCACAATGTGTGTGCGTTATGTGGGGGGAGGGAGGGGTTGTGCTTTTTTTATTAGTTTTTTTTTTTTTTTTACACATTTATTTTTAAATAATTTTATTTTGTTTTACATTTTTGTATTTAAATTTCTTTTTACATTTATTTATTTTTTAATAATTTCTGGACTGTCATGAGAGCTGTCATGAGAGCTTGTCGGAGCCGGCTTTGATATCACCGCCAAGCTCTCATTGTAATGAGAGCTGGTCCTGGCCAATATAAAACAGTTGGGCGGAGCTGTCACTGCTAGCTCCGCCCAATCATTTTCTCCTTTTTTTCCCTACACAGAGGTACCGAGCAGAAAAGCTAAGCCGAATGGCGCTCGGCGGCATTCGGCTATTCAATCACTGCTGTTTCGGCCCTATGAGAATAGGCCGAACAGCAACGAGTAGCCTGCCGGAGGTTCGGCTAAGCCGATCCAGATGTTGGATCAGCTGAGTCAAACTCCTTCTGCCCTTCGGCCGACCCGAACCCAGCCGCAGCAAGCCGTTGTACGGCTGATTTCAGTCGGTGTACGGCTGAAATCAGCTGTACAAGCCTGAAGTGAATAGCCAAACGGCGTTCGGCTCACTTCACTTCGGGTCGGTTATTCACACGGCTGCCTTCGGCAGCTTTATGAATAACCCCCTATGTGTCCCCAGTTATTTACAAACACCGGAGTGATCAGACGATCACTCCGGTGTTTGCTCTGCACAGAGCATCAGTAAATATCAATGATACTTATCGATCCTCCACTCGGCCATGCACAGAGCCGCTGTCATCCGGAAACTGATGTTACTGTTGGGGGGGCTGCGGTGACATTTCCCTTTTGAAATAGAAATTGAGGACAAAGAGTCCTCAATTTCTTTTTCTGCAGCCCCAGCACTCAATGAATGGGAAGCACTCAGTACAGAGGCTTCTCATTCATTCATAAATTGCTGATAGTAAAAATATCTTACTATCATTAGTTTCTGAATGGGGAGGAGCCTCTGTAGTGAGTGCTAGTCCCCATTCATAAATTCTTGAATGAACAGGAAGTGATGTAAATCACAGCCTGTTCATTCATAACTGGGGACACATAGTACTAACACCGGAGTGATCAGACGATCGCTCCAGTGTTTGCTCTGCACAGAGGGATCGTTAGATATCAATGATATTCTGAGAGACTCCAGATGCCGGCGGCCGGCAGCAGCGGGGGCGGCGGGGGGGCGCCCGGTATTTTCGTTAATAGCGGTCATCAGCGGCTTGTGAGCAGCTATTAATTTGAAGGGGACAATCCGGGGGAACAGTTCTAGTATAAGCTCATGGTCGCTAAAGCGCCCATGAGCTTATAGCAGAACTGTAAATACCAGGTCCTTGGCCAGCCGGGAACACTTTTGTTCCTCCGTGCGACATACGTCCTTGGCAGGGAAAGGGTTAAAGGGTCATTCCACCCAGAATGGATACTGGAGGTGTGACCCAGCTGCTGCTTCCTTCTCTCTCCTAGGGTACTCCAGCAATCAGAAGTCGGTACAGAGTTCCCAACTCCGCCCACCTGCTGGGGCTTTATTATACATTGCGGAGACTGTAGAGGGAGGACGACACCCAAGGGTGGGCGGAGACAGAACCAGGAACAATGGTGGGAGACCTCACGCCTGCAGGTAATGCCACTTTCTGGCAGAGATGGTGGTGTTCAGTAGACACTATAGAGCCGTCTACAGAGGGTGGAGGTGACAGGTACTCACCCCCTGGTTATCGAACGGGTTGTAGACGTCAAGGGTGGCAAACTGGTTACCGGGGCGATGTTCCACCACAGCCGGGTCCTGGAAGAGAGAGTGACAGGTCATCATCGGGAACATGGAGGAAACAACATGAGGAGCCCCGCCTGACGCCTCCATCACCCCCACACAGAGGAGGAGCCCCGACTAACACCACCACCACCTCAACAGAGAGGAGCCCTGACTAATGCCTCCGTCACCCCGATCAAGGCCTCTGTCACCCCCACACAGAGAGGAGCCCCGACTAATGCCTCCATCGCGCCCCACACAGAGGAGCCCTGACTTATGCTGCCACCACCCCGAAATTGATAGGAACTCTGACTAATGCCTTCTAAGTAAAGCTCCACTTTCTGTGAGGGTGACAACGCGTCCTGATCAGGATCAGCGTTGTCACTGGTCTCCATTTCCCATGATGCAGCAGGGGCAGCTCAATGTGCAGACAGTAAGACCACACTGCACACAGAACTGGAGGCACCCGAGGATAACAACAAACGTCACTGTGAGCCGCTATCACTGCAGCCAGGAATGGAGCCGACACGGACAAAAAACGCATGCTGCCAGTGAATGGATATGACAGCAGCCACCTTCTTGTCCTGACAGGATCCGGGCAAACACAGCGTCCTCTCCTCCCAGACTCACCTGAAACGGATTGTCCATCTCACCAAATGGGTTCCCCCGATCCGCCATCTCCGTGCAACTGCCGGTCACATGACCCGCACAACCTTCGCGTCACCGTTCATGTGATCTCCGCCTCACCCGCACCGCGTGACACACCCCGCCCACTCCCGTCCCTAAGAGTGACGTAATTAATGTTTAGAGAGGCGCAGGTGACAGGAGGCGAGGCTGACACTGCCCCGCCCCCAGCGTGTCCCCTACTATGAGGACCCAAACTTGTCACGTGACGTACACTAGCCTCAGCCTCTGTTGACATGACACACTGACCGGGGACGGGCAGAAAAGATTTACAAAACTTTATTGATCCAATGCAATAAATATACAATCACCATAATGAGTTATATAATAATGTTTATTACAGTAAGAATATAATGAATACAATACACAACCCCCCTCACCTCCCTACAGGGTCCTCCATCACCCCCACACAGAGGAGGAGCCCCGACTAACACCACCACCACCTCAACAGAGAGGAGCCCTGACTAATGCCTCCGTCACCCCGATCAAGGCCTCTGTCACCCCCACACAGAGAGGAGCCCCGACTAATGCCTCCATCGCGCCCCACACAGAGGAGCCCTGACTTATGCTGCCACCACCCCGAAATTGATAGGAACTCTGACTAATGCCTTCTAAGTAAAGCTCCACTTTCTGTGAGGGTGACAACGCGTCCTGATCAGGATCAGCGTTGTCACTGGTCTCCATTTCCCATGATGCAGCAGGGGCAGCTCAATGTGCAGACAGTAAGACCACACTGCACACAGAACTGGAGGCACCCGAGGATAACAACAAACGTCACTGTGAGCCGCTATCACTGCAGCCAGGAATGGAGCCGACACGGACAAAAAACGCATGCTGCCAGTGAATGGATATGACAGCAGCCACCTTCTTGTCCTGACAGGATCCGGGCAAACACAGCGTCCTCTCCTCCCAGACTCACCTGAAACGGATTGTCCATCTCACCAAATGGGTTCCCCCGATCCGCCATCTCCGTGCAACTGCCGGTCACATGACCCGCACAACCTTCGCGTCACCGTTCATGTGATCTCCGCCTCACCCGCACCGCGTGACACACCCCGCCCACTCCCGTCCCTAAGAGTGACGTAATTAATGTTTAGAGAGGCGCAGGTGACAGGAGGCGAGGCTGACACTGCCCCGCCCCCAGCGTGTCCCCTACTATGAGGACCCAAACTTGTCACGTGACGTACACTAGCCTCAGCCTCTGTTGACATGACACACTGACCGGGGACGGGCAGAAAAGATTTACAAAACTTTATTGATCCAATGCAATAAATATACAATCACCATAATGAGTTATATAATAATGTTTATTACAGTAAGAATATAATGAATACAATACACAACCCCCCTCACCTCCCTACAGGGGACAACACACAACCCCCTCACCTCCCTACAGGGGACAACACACAACCACCCTCACCTCCCTACAGGGGACAACACCACCTTCACCTCCCTACAGGAGACACCACACAACCACCATCACCTCACTACAGGGGACAACACCACCTTCACCTCCCTACAGGAGACACCACACAACCACCATCACCTCACTACAGGGGACACTACAGGGGACACCACACAACCCCCCTCACCTCCCTACAGGAGACATCGCACAACCACCCTACAGGGGACACCACACAACCCCCCTTACCTCCCTACAGGGAACAACCACCCTCACCTCCCTACAGGGGACAGTACACAACCACCCTCACCTCCCTACAGGGGACAGTACACAACCACCCTCACCTCTCTACAGGGGACAATACACAACCACCCTCACCTCTCTACAGGAGACAATACACAACCACCCTCACCTCCCTACAGGGGACAACCACCCCCTACTCCCTACAGGAGACAATACACAACCACCCTCACCTCCCTACAGGGGACAATAGAAAGCCACCCTTACCTCTGTAAAGGGAACAATACACAACCACCCTCACCTGCCTACTGGGGACAGAACACAAACACCCTCACCTTCCTACTGGGGGCAATGCACAACCACCCTCACCTCCCTGCAGGAGAAAGCGCACAACCACCCTCACTTCCCTACAGGGGACAACACTACCCCCCCCCCCTCACCTCCCTGCAGGAGAAAGCGCACAACCACCCTCACTTCCCTACAGGGGACAACACTACCCCCCCCCCCTCACCTCCCTGCAGGAGAAAGCGCACAACCACCCTCACTTCCCTACAGGGGACAACACTACCCCCCCCCCCTCACCTCCCTGCAGGAGAAAGCGCACAACCACCCTCACTTCCCTACAGGGGACAACACTACCCCCCCCCCCTCACCTCCCTGCAGGAGACAACGCACAACCACCCTCACCTCCCTGCAGGAGACAACGCACAACCACCCTCACCTCCCTACAGGGGACAACACACAACCACCCTCACCTCCCTACAGGGGACAACACACAACCACCCTCACCTCCCTACAGGGGACAACACCACCTTCACCTCCCTACAGGAGACACCACACAACCACCATCACCTCACTACAGGGGACACCACAAAACCCCCCTCACCTCCCTACAGGAGACATCGCACAACCACCCTACAGGGGACACCACACAACCACCATCACCTCCCTAAGGGGACAACACACAACCCCCCTTACCTCCCTACAGGGAACAATCACCCTCACCTCCCTACAGGGGACAGTACACAACCACCCTCACCTCCCTACAGGGGACAGTACACAACCACCCTCACCTCTCTACAGGGGACAACACACAACCACCCTCACCTCTCTACAGGGGACAACACACAACCACCCTCACCTCTCTACAGGAGACAATACACAACCACCCTCACCTCCCTACAGGGGACAATACACAACCACCCTCACCTCCCTACAGGGGACA